AAATTTTTTATTTTTTAGGTATATTTATGTTAGGTATGTCTTAAAAAGTAAAACAAATTGCTTAAAATATTAAGAAATATTCAATAAATAAAAAAAAATTACAGAAAACAAGAAAGTAGAATTTCCGAAAAGTGTTTTGTGAAAAGTAAAACAAGCAAAGTAAGCTATTTGCCAGTAGAAATTACTAACAGTGGTACTACATGTACCATTAGTGTACTACTAGTGTCAACACTAGTATGAAATTTATTATTGACCCACTTCGTATACAAAGTTACAAATACCAAAATATTATTAAATTTATGTCACATCATTAATTGATGCACTAATTAGTATATTAATTTAATGTATATTAGCATTTTTATTTTGATAATATGCCCAATTATAAATTAAAGTTGGCATTGTGTATTTTTATCGAAAATTAATAGAGACCTCATTTTTATTACGCCACAACTTTACAGACGCATGTCAGTGAATGCATCAGAAAAAAAAAAAAAACAAAACAAAACAAGAACAAATAAAAGTAAAAAGTCAGCAATCTTAATACATTGGGAGTTGATAAGGGTCAAGAAAAAAAAAAGTGGATGTCAACCTTTTCCTAAGTGACCAATTATGATCATAAACGAGTAACAGATCATCAAAGATTTTGGAAATAATGTCACCATCAAAAATGTTTTACAGATTTATATTTTAGATAAATTACACTGAATTTTTAGAATGTGGCTGAAATAATATAATGTAATATCTTTTTTAATTTTCATATTGGACAAAATGCTTGAGCCTAATCATTTATATTTGTTAGTCATATAAATGGAAACAATAAATTTAAATACGCATTTACTATGTTTGGGTTTCACTTTTCAAAAATACTTTTTAGAAAATTCTACTTTCTTATTTTTCGTATTTTTTTTGTTTTTACACAGTTTTTAAAATATTTTAAGCAAAAATACCTAACTTTAGATGTATCAAAAAGTAAAAAAATTGTAAAAGAAAACCTTTTAAAATTCACTAAATACTCAAAATACAAAAAAAAATACGAGAATTTCAGTACATTTTTTATATTTTTAACATATTTATTAATTTTTAAAAATATTTTTTCACAATTTTTTATTTTAGATACATCTAAGTTAGGTTGCATCTAAAAAGTAAAAAAAAAATTTTAAAATTTAAAAGATATTCACTTAAAAAACAAAAATACGAAAACCAAAAACTAAATTTTCAAAAAACTCAAACCCCAAAACACACTGATACTTTTACACTACAATGTTATATTTTTCGAGTTTAGATTCCGTTAAGTTGAAAATCTCACTTCATATGGCAAGTTGGTCTAATAATGGGACATAATATATACATGTATCAATTGATCTTAACCGTTCATTCCATATGGCAGTAAGAAAAAATATGAATGTAAAAAAAAAACAGGTGATCAATATAAGTAATTACATGAGTGATGTATTCTTAAGAACATGTAGGTCATATGTAAAAAATGATCTAATAGTTATGACAATCGATATTAGATTAATTTGATTTTTTATATAGATAATTTTCTAGTTAGTTGTATAACGGTGAACGGTTTAGATCATAAGAAGTGAGAGAGTGTTTGAGACGACTAAATAAGTATATTTTTTTTACTTTTTACAAAAAAAAAAAAGTAATGAGTCTGGGTTTGAAGTGATCGCGGTAGAGGTGATATGATATAGAATTAGAATAAAAATGATTGTAACCCAAATAGAATAGTGTGTTAAAAATAACATGTGCTATTTTAGCACATGCAAACACTCCCTGTTAATTCAAGTTGTTCAATAATGGGTTCAAACTTTAGTGAGGGATTAAAAAAAATTGTGTTGTTTAATAACCAGTGAATTAAAAATAGTTCATGTTTTGCTTTCAAAAGTAGGAGTGGAATTAACGATAAACAATTACACAAATACATTTATTTGCATTACTATCAATTTGGACTTATACAAAATAATAAATGCATTACAATATTTAATATTAAAAAATATTTTATAAATATTAAAATTATATTTCATAAATATATATGTTTTGTTACTATATTATTTTTTGTAAATTATTGGACATAAAGATTGTGAGTTGAAATAATTAAAAAAAATAAAATAAAGAAAAGATCATATTAATTAAGTAAGTTAATAATTAGTAAATAATGGAGGGCAAATATAGTAAATCCACCTTTAATCCCATGGAATTATTTTTTCTAATACCTTTGTGTAGGATATATTTTCTGGATACCCAAACACATGCATGGTGACGCCGACGTGCCAGCCGAAAGTGCCACGTGTCGTGGTAGTTAGGCGGGTAATCTCGGAATGCCGAAGTTATCTCCGAAGATTATCGAAGTCCGAGATAAAGAATAAGGGACAAGAGTCCTAAGACGGAAGAGGGGACTTAACCACAGATAAGATAAAGCTCTTAGAGAGTTTATCTTTATCTCTTGAGAGTCCAAAGTAAGCACAGAATTGGAGTTCATAGAACGTCATACTTCTAGTGGGACTTTGGATGATATATTATAAAAGAGAGGCACCCGTGGGTCTCAAGTATGCAATTCGTTTCGGAGTATTAAGTTTAGCCTTGATTATCTTTGAGAGATATACTGACTTGATCGTCGGAGTGCCCCCGGGTGGAGAACCACCGGCCGGACCTTTTCTTTCTGTTACAGGTGCCTAAGGCCATCTATTCTGCCTCGTGCTCTCCAGTTGATCACTAAGCAGGGCAGTGTAGTCAGATTTCACCCCACACAA